AACAATTATGGCTCGGGCTAATTCCCTCAAATTTGCACTCAGACGAATAACGAAGCCGAAAATTAAAATCCCTGCTGTATTTCCTTGTTACAAGAGAGGGAAAGGAAGTAGCCCGAGTGATAGCAAATACTAACAGCAACCACTCGCCAGCATAGCTGTCGATAAATGTCACTCCCGAAGATTGCCCTGTTTTGCTAGAAACGTAATACAATTTAGAATACTTTAGTTCGATTTTCGTTTACTAGTCAAACTCGTAGTAGATAAGGTATTCTCGTCGTAATCTAGAAGTGGCAACGTCCTAAACAACGTGCAGATGTTCAGTACACAATACATATAAACGTACACGCATATACACACATCACACACACACACACACACACACACCAAGGGCAATCCGAAACAGCTGAGGGTATTCCGAAACAGCCTTGCCAACTGCTTCTACAGCTAGAACAGTTGAGCCTGTAATCCATCATCAGGATTGCCAGTAGACTGACCACCAGGCAATGCAGCATTGGTCAAAGCAATTGTCAGCTGCACAACTAAAGACCGCCTATAAGTTGCAGAAAACCAGCACAAATTATTCAGATAAATTAACAAAATTTAATTAATCAAACATGAAAGGACGAAAAAATTAAACTAAAAAAAATTAAAAAAATTAAAAAAATTAAAAAATTAAAAACTAAATATGAAAAAACAAAAGAAAAAGAATGGCTGTTTCAGTTTTGACATCTGACTGGTACTTATTGACGAAGCAGTGTCACTTAAATTTTCTCCGTACTGCAGTCATCTCACAGCAATCAAAAAGCGACGGGTTCTTACGTACGTACATTTTTACATGCGCACATTTTTTCATAAAACAGCAAAATTTTATGCTAGCAGTCAAAGCTCACCAGGTCATTTGGCGAAAAAAGAGACAAAAAACAGACAAAGTAGATTACTGAATGATGTTCGAGCAATATTAAGTAGCCACAGACACGATCAGCCAGTAAGACTAAACGCATCAAGTAAGATGTGTGAATGCGAGAAACTCAAAAGCAAATAGAAAAGTTGCCAAGTGGCATGAGGAGAAATGCAACGATGAAACAGTAATTCAAAACATCAATCAAAGCAAACAGCAAGATTTGTAAAATTGTTGTGAAAATCATAATGTAAAAAAAACAGTGATTAAAATTTAAGAAAAAAATTGCTAAAGATTTGGGTCCGCAGATCCTTGCACTTTGCAAATTAAATATAAATCTTGATGATGCAAAAGACGCGAAATTTAAGAAAGAAATTAATTTTTCTAAAGATTTAAGCTTACACTCCCTT